AAGTCCCATGATCCTTTAAACCCTAAACCCTAAACCCTAAACCCTACTTACTAAGTCCCATGATCCTTTAAACCCTAAACCCTAAACCCTAAACCCTAAACCCTACTTACTAAGTCCCATGATCCCTTAAGTACAGTCTTGAGGCTCCTACGCACTTTGCTTTTGTGAGGGCAATCTCGGCTGCCCTGGCCAGGCCAGGGGGGTTTCCGAAAAAAAGGGACCCCAATATAGTACCCTGAATAATAGGATCCTTATTATAAGGACCCCAATCCCCAATATAGTACCCTAAATAATAGGATCCTTATTATGAGGACCCCAATATAGTACCCTAAATAATAGGATCCTTATTATAAGGACCCCAATATAGTACCTTAAATAATAGGATCCTTATTATGAGGACCCCAAAATAAGGTATATAGTACCCTAAATAATAGGATCCTTTTTATCAGGATCCCAAAATAAGGTACCCCTAATTTTCGGAAACTCCCATACTGTACTGATCGCAGCTGCCACTTTCGTCAACACAGGCTGGACAGCAGAGCGTCTCGCTACAACACGTCGGCGAGCTGCGTGTGTTGGGGGCAGTGAGGTCAGTTGCCACGGACCTACTGGCCCGATCTACGCAGTGACGTCCATGTTGCTCTCGAAACTCGCTACGAGGTGCTCTCTGCAGATGTTGGCTTTGCCACAATTCCTCTCAAGGCTGTCCGGCTGTGGGGGCGCTAAGCAAGAGGACAATGACTATTTCTGACACGTGTTGGATACAGCATTCACTCATACTCGTAGCAACGCTCGTGATAGTACCCTAAACCCTAAAACCCTTATTCTACATCCTCGTGCAATGCCCTCTTTTGTTTCCTTGCGGTTCTGGTCGAGGTGCGTGTCGAGGCAGCCTCGTATGGGATTCGCCGTGGGCTTACTCCTTTTAATGATGTGACGCAACAGGAAGGGACGAGAGAAGCAAGTGTTGCTGAGTAGTAGGATGAGAAAATGTTTATCCAGCTTCGGCTATGGCAGCCGGTGCTGTTGATATTGCTGTGGTCGTGGTGCTTGTTGGGTTGTTGGAAGTTGTTCTTGGTTGTTGCTCGTTGTGTGTTGCTTCTTCATATTGTTATTATTGTGATATTTGTGCTTGTTGTGATTGTTCGTTGTGGTTTCTTGGTTGTTGCTTGTTGCGTGTTTCTTGTTATTATTGTTCTTGTTCTTGTTGTTGTTGCAGTCGCTGTTACTGTCGCTGTTGCGGTTGTTGAAGATGATATTGATGTTGATGTTTTTGTTGTCGTTGTCGTTGTCGTCGTTGT